ACATTCCCTCTCCTGCCTACTTATTAGGCATTACATTTCCTAAAATCAGAAATCCCACCTCCTGAGTTCCAAAATAAAACATATTTATGGTACATAATTAAGCTTTAATTAAGATCTCCCCTGGGTGTATGAGACAACACACATTTCTAGCGCACTCCAATAGGCAAGCAGACGGGGCCTGTTATTTGTGACTGTACTGAAAGCTGCCTATTATACCCAGGCAACATCGGTGCTCGCCATTGAGCTGCAGTTTCCCAGCACCCGAAGCAATGCATTTTCCAAAGACGCATCTCTTAGATGGAATTTTGGCACCTCCTAGCCACCAGGGATCCCAGCTGAGATAGTATGGGGAGGGACAAAGGTTCAGGAATTGTATCTTCCTTTTTTTCTTTTCAACTTTGTGTACGACAAGTGAGGTGAGGAACCGAATAGTTATCAGGTCCACGGAATTAACGTGGACAGTTTAATGGACTTGCTTCTCTGTTGTCAGGGTCTTATATAAATATGAGATTTCTACCTGTTTTTCCCCTTTTCTGGCTGCACTAAGAATTACTCAGTCAACATTCCCAGTTTCCCTGCATTGTCAAGAGAGCTGAGGCAAAGGCCTTTCTTCTAAACAGCTGTTTGATTTCCTTGTTATGGAGGGGTCACCTTTCGTCGCAGTCTTCCCAAAATTCACTGGCAAGATATTGAATTACCTGGCAACAAAACTCCTGAACACTGACCACTCCCTTTTCTGTAAGGCAGAGGGCTGTCCTACTACCTTGAGAGGAAGTTCTATTTCATTTTCCAGTGTAAATATGACTCAGTCTTCCTGCAGATTGACATATATACATATATGTGTGTGTGTGTGTGTGTGTGTGTGTGTGTGTGTGTGTGTGTGTGTGTGTGTGTGTGTGTGTGTGTGTGTGTGTGTGTGTGTGTGTGTGTGTGTGTATATATATATACACATATGTGTGTGTGTATATATGTGTATATATATGTATTATATGTATATACACACACACACACACATCATGCCATGGTGAGAATCCATATTAGAAAGGCCTCCAAATTCTGAAATTTGATTTTATTTTCATCCAGGTGAGGTGATTAGGAATTTGATATACAAGATGAGTGTTTAAAACTCTTAAATCCATGTACATAACCCTAGGTCACCTTGCGTGTGACTGATTACAGATAAATAAGAAAGAACATTTCATAAGTTTGTTTTCCATAGAATCTAAAAAGTACTCAGGGAAGAAGTCAGAAGTGCCTCCAAATTAGATTACAGTCTTTAAGGTTATGACCAAAATGTCTTACTCATCTTTGTGAACCCTCAGATTATTGCTAGCAAAGGCACATGGATATTTGTTGAACAAATTATAATAAAAAACTTGCTATTTGCCTTTGGGATTTTATAAAAGGATTGAGGAAGAAAATCAGCAAGAACCACACAAGAACAAAGGCTGTTGAATAAATTATTTCTAACCTGAAAAACCTGCATTAACAGTGGGGTTTTGTTTAAACTCAGTACTCTCAACACAAAGTGGCTTCAGATTTCCCATTATTATTAATATTTTTGCTACCCATGATGGTAGAAATAGCAGCTACCATCTTTAGTAACTACTCATCAGACACTACGTTAGGCCATTTATGTACATTATTGCTAAACTTACAGAAACTCAACAAGATAGGAAGATTGCTATTTTAAGTAGTAAAAATTAAGGGTCAGAGGAGCCTGTGTACAGT